TGAGACCATGAGATATAAGATAATCTCAGCTTCAATGTTTAACCTTGATATTCCCTTCAGGGGAATCTTTGAACTATTTTGTGAACCCGGTTGGGATCTTTGCAAACCCACACTATGGACCATTTGGTTCGATACTGTTCAATACTCCATTCCCATCGCACTAAAAACACAAACAGCTTATAGCATTTTGACAAATCCCTACAAGGACAAGTTCCACTTCTGGACATTACTCGAGTGGTTTTCTCCAATACCCTAGTGGAGACAAAAGCTTAAAGAGATTCTAGATTGTCAAAGACATAAAGGAGTTACTGAAGATTCTCTCAAGAATTTGACCTCAATCTTCATCATCCACCGTCCATACTTCTTAAATTCAGCAGGACAACTATGGTCAAGAAATGCTTTGGGCCAGCTTTGAAACTTACCCACTTGATAAAAGTTACCGAGCACAATTGGCGCATCACCTCTGTGAAGTAAACCATTACCAGCACAAGCCAGTGGACCCCAACTTCGCCAGCTCATCCTAGAGACCGCCTGATTCATATCCTATGGATAAGATCATTCCAGAAGAAGACAAATATCAAGAAATACAATTTTTTAAATCAAGGGCAGAAATGAACGTCCCTGATGAAGCTTTCCAGAAGGTTGAAGACCTAGCGGATAATCTCAATGAAGATCTTATGGAAGAAATGATGATACACAAGAAGATGTACCTCTACTGGGACCCGCTACATGGAAGCATGACAAGAAGTGAGGCCCAGCAGATGAATTATTTTGGTTCAACCCGATCTGACTAAAGTAAAGGCTTTAGTTAATGGTTGTCATCATGACATGCTACTAAAGCACGATTCCCTTATCTTTACACGTGTCTATTGCAATCACCACAAACATGTTAAGGAAGATAAGTCCAGATCAACTTTACTTTTTCATGAAGAGATAAGACATCATTTTTTAATCTTATCTTATCTTTTCTACTTTGGCCATACGTATGACTAAAATAAAGTGTGAATCATGATATTTTGTCTCTTGTAAGGCCATTATGAGGTGTGGGCCGTACACAACAAGAAAATCGCATATTACCGACGGATATTTACCAACGGATTTGTAGCCGTCGGAAAATAATCATTACCGACAGAAATTACCGACGGATATAAAATATTTGTAGAATTTGATGTTACCAACGGATATATTCGTCGGTAAAATAGTTACCGACGGATATATCCGTCGATAAATCCGTCGGTAATTTATAGATGAATTTACCGACAGATATATCCATCGGTAAATCCGTCGATAAATTAACAATTAATTACCGACGGATATATCCGTTGGTAAATTCATCTCAGAATTAATTACCGATCGGATATATCCGTCAATAAAATTATATAATATAATTTAATTATTCACCTAATTAAAAAATAAAATATTTTTTATTTAATAATTTAATTTAATCATAATTAGATTAATTTATAATAATTTATTAAATTAAATAATTTTAAAAAATAAATATTTAATTATATATAAATATATATATATATATATAAAAATATATAAATATATAAATATATAAATATATAAATATATAAATATATAAATATATAAATATATAAATATATAAATATATAAATATATAAATATATAAATATATTTGTATATTTGTATATAAATATAATTTATTTATAAATTGTTATCAAGAAAATCTAGTAGCTTAGTGGTTGGAGTATCTCTAAGGTACTGGGTTCGAATCTTGCCAATGACATTTCTCTTAATTTGATAATAATTCAAAGCTATAAAAATATAATATGAAGAAAATAAGAATATAAAGGGGAGGGGGTTCTATGAAAAAAATATGCTATAAATAATAATATTATTACCGACGAATTCCAGTCCGTCGGTAATTTCGTAACACATTTACCGACAACCGAATTTCCGACAATTTTTTGGCCGTCGGAATTCCATCGGTAATATTCATTTACCAACGGATTTTGATCGTCGATAATTTTAATATTTCTTGTAGTGGTAGTTTTATTATCTTATTTCGGATTCTATCTTGTAACATAAGTTTCGGGTCCGAATTTCATTCTAGTTTAGCGAAGCTTTGGATTTCGCTTGCTTGGTTTTGCTATAAATAGGGGATGCTTGTAATGTTGTAACTCAGAACACGATAGAGTAAAATCAATACAAGTTTTCTTCATAAAATGTTCTCTCTTTAAGTTTTCTCTTTTCTGAAAGCTTGAAGCTTATAGTTCTTAGTATTGTTCGCCACTTAGATGCAAGTATGCTCTACACTTGCCTCGAAAGAGGATCCTGTGTATTAGAAAGCTTCCGATCTATGAAACCATTTTTACCACAGAGTGATCTTCTTATAGGAAATATAAACTTGAGTGGGCTTTTAGCCGAGGCATGACACCGTTATGTCCGAGGATGTTCATATCGTCTGAATAAGAAGGGGTCTCTGTCCGAAATGGTATCAAAGCCAAACCATTTTTCAGAAGGGGGTATGATAGTAGGAATTATAAGTGGAAAGTGAGTAAGAGAAACCTTCAAACATGGAAAGTGAGTAAGAGGCTTGTAGTCGATTACTAACCTCTTTTTTCCTCTAATTTTTCCGGACCTCTTTCCTACATAAAAGGCTTGGCAGGCCCAATTGGATTGGGTTGGTTAGATCAGGCCTTGTTTCAACAGTTCCTAGCATTCTTGTCTTGCTAACTGTAGGTCTGAAGGAGACATTCTTGGGTGAGTGGCCTTCGTTGGATTGACATCTTCGTTAAGCTTAAAGGGTAATTGTACAAAGAACTCAGGATTCTTCCATAATGGTTTGGGATGAGAAAATTCCTCATGACTGTTAGCGCACAGAGAGGCTAACTTGTCCTTTATTTCTTCAAAATCTAGAGGAGCTTCAAAGAGGGAGAAGAGTCTAGGTACATCTGTGAAAGGTTTGAATTCCCTCTTGAACTTGATTCCTGTAGGAAGAATTTGAAACATGTTTGTCATGGAGAAGATGTCCATGTCTATTAGGATATCTTTGTTGAGAAGCTTGCTCCCAATTACTTTACTCCAAATTGTACATTCTGGGAAGAATTTGATTCCAATTGGAGCTTTGGTGATCAGTTCGATCTTAAAGACTTTTCCGTCAGCTGCTACAAAATAGGAGGCTTCTTTCTTCCAAAAATCTTTGGGAAGAATATCAGGATCCATCATGGATTTCTGGGCTCCTGTATCAAGGTAGGCTATGACTTGGATAGCTTTCTCATATTTAGAAGGAAGGAGTTGGACATCCAAGCATGGTTGTGGAGGAGAAATATTGAGTAATAAAACCTTTACTATCTATTACAGAGGACTAAGATTTATTGCAGAGATATACTACATGTAAGAGAGTTGTGGAAACTTTTGGATTTTTTGCAGCAAAGCAAGATTTGTGATAGTGAACATATAATAATGATTATATTTATAATCGTCCACGTATTAATAACATACAATTACGATTTAAAATTATCGTAAATTTTACAATTTTCAATGACAATTATAAAACTAGGGTTATATTTTTTTTTTTTAATTGTCATGGAATCATTTGTTTGAAATAGTGTATCTGAGTTATATCCAAAATTCATTTTCTTTTATCTGTTATATCTCGAGATATTTTATTGGTTTCAATATTGAGATATTATTTTTTATTCAAGTAGATATATAAGTCCAATATTCAAAGATAAGTGTATTATATGTATAGAAGAAAAATAGCTTTAAGTGCATCCTTCTAGATATATATCTTAATATATATTGTTATTTATTATTATGGATTTATGTATATATTTTGAATTGTGTCATTTGGGACAATTTCATATCTTTTTTATACCACATAAAGAATCTTTGATTTATTATGTTGCTGCCACTATGTATGTATGTCCTTGTAAGAAAGAACATCTCAAAATTCTTAATATGTGAAAGAGAGGTTTGGCATATAGGTTAATAATGAAAATTAGTATCAATTATAAATATAATAATATTATATTATCTAGATTTTATTGAACCAATTTTATAGATTTGTACATCCATATTTATAATTTCTCAATGAAATAACACAATTCATACCATATTTTTTTTTTTAATAGTTACTCTAAAGAAAATGAGCTTTTAAAAGTGTTGAAAGATCTTCCCTGTCCCATTAACACGACAAGAGCTTTTATGGATTATTATGATTGAAGAGGGGACTTTAGGAGTAAAAAATTGTGAGAAAAAGGGTAAAAGTTGAAGTTATTTGGACTAAGAGAAAATAGTAGGAATGAGTGGAAAGTGAGATTAATTTATTTATTATATTTAATATATATATATATATATATATATATATATATATATATATATATATACTTTTTTAATTATTTATTATAATAATAATATAAAAAATGAAAAATATATTAATTAAAAAAAATTACAATTATGTATAACATCTCGATTATGTTTGATTTTTTAAACTTTTTTTGGAAGAATTTTTTTATCAGGATTTTAAAGTTTTATAGGCATAATGCATGCTCCTTAGCTTAGAATAAATTTTGCACTACCATTAACCACATATCATAAGCTATCATCTGAATGGTCTTTAGTCATTGGGACGTGTGGAATGTTCTAGGAAAGTTATTTTCTACTTTTGACAACTTCTAAAATGGGTTCAAGGAAAAGTTTAAATAGGACTCTCAGAAATCATGTTTAGTGAATTATTTGTGAACCATAAAAAGTGAGCTTGTCAACACACTTATAAAATACTTCAGAGTATTAAGTTTACAAATTTTTTAATTTATATATATTGACATAGTTAGTTGTTTATTTGTACTCTCTGGAACTTCTCATTCATATTTACACTTCAAGAAAAAGTATAACTCTTAAAAAGGAAAATGATAGCCAAATTAAAGAAAGTCTCAACTTTAAATTGCCAAAGTCAAGATGGAAAACAACATCAATGATAACGACAATTGTCAGTGAAACTTCGACGTTTCTTCTGATGCTGAGTGTGAATGTCAGGTAGTCGCAGTTTTCACACATAACCGAAAATTGTGCTATTCTCAGCACTGGTGTTAGTGCCTTTATAACCACATCTTTATGGTGTTCATAAAAAGTTAGCGAATACCCCAAAAAACTTCGACTAGATTATTGCTTGTGCATTATAAATTTCGTTAACCACTGTAGAAATATCTAGTGGTTTCAGTTTTCTTAGTCCTGTGTTTTAAGCTCTAACTCTCAAGCTTTGTACTCGATGAACTTTATTCTTTTTCTAATGAGTTGCATACTTTATACACTGTTTTTCCCTTCTCAAACAGTTTTGATAGCAGCGGAGACTTCATCCATTACACAATCCCAGTCCCTAAGTTACAGACAGACCATAGTTTCCCCACGTGGAATCTTTGAACTCGGTTTCTTCAACCTTCGAAATCCCAACAAAATCTACCTCGGGATTTGGTACAAGAATATCCCACTTCAAAACATAGTTTGGGTTGCAAATGGTGGCACCCCAATCAGGGACTCTTCTGCCATCTTGAAACTAAACAGTTCTGGTAATTTGGTCCTCACACACAACAACACGGTTGTTTGGTGCACAATTTCTTCAGAAAAGACACAGAATCCAGTGGCAGAGCTTTTGGATTCTGGCAATCTTGTGATAAGAGATGAGAATGAAGCAAAGGCAGAGGCATATCTGTGGCAAAGCTTTGATTATCCATCTAATACAATGCTGCCAGGAATGAAGGTTGGATGGGACCTCAAAAGAAATCTTAGTACTTTCCTGATAGCTTGGAAGAGTGATGATGATCCCACCCCAGGAGACTTATCTTGGGGCATTACCCTGCACCCTTATCCTGAGATCTATATGATGAAGGGAACAGAAAAGTACCATAGAGTTGGACCATGGAATGGTTTGCGTTTCAGTGGAAGGCCACTTATGACGCTTAATGACCCCATTTACCGTTATGAGTTTGTCTCCAACCAGGAAGAGATTTATTACAGATGGAGCCTTAAGCAAACTAGTTTAGTAACAAAAGTGGAACTTAACCAAAGTGCACAAGAAAGTCAACGTTATTTATGGTCAGGGAAATCATGGACTTTGTATTCAACAATGCCAGAAGACTACTGTGATCATTATGGAGTTTGTGGAGCCAATACATATTGCACCACTTCTGCATCACCAATCTGTGAATGTTTAAAAGGGTTCACGCCTAAGTCTCCCGCAAAATGGAACTCAATGGAATGGTCCGAAGGGTGTGTCCTCAAAAATCCAATTAGATGCAAAGACAAGCTGGGTGATGGTTTTGTCTCCATGGATGGCTTGAAAGTGCCGGATACAAATTATACGTATGTGGATGAGACTATTGATCTTAAGCAATGCAGAACCAAGTGCTTGAATAGTTGCTCCTGCATGGCATATACCAATTCAAATATAAGTGGTGCAGGCAGTGGCTGTGTCATGTGGTATGGTGATTTATTTGACATCAAACTGTATTCAAATCCAGAAAATGGGCAGCGTCTATATATAAGGTTGAATTCTTCAGAATTAGGTAATACTTTATTAACTTTTGCAATTTGATCCTTTTATTATTCCTCTCAGAATTTCAATCTTTGCTGAGCTAAGTTTTCACTTGGTCTTTCAATATGGAATCTAACCAATGTTGTTTTGTTTGATCAAATTCAGACGTGAAAGGGTCTATCGGGCACAAGAAGAACTCTAAACTAATATTTGTAACCTCCATTGCTGCAATTTTCGGAGTGATGCTTGCTATCTATTTTGTCTACAGAAGGAACACTATAGGTAAAATTATTCTTCTCCTCTCCCACATTTCTCTGAAATTATGAATAGTTCTGTATATTATATTCTAAATGGAATTATAGCATTTTCCATTCCCTTGAATAGTGCTGTTATTGGTCTTATAGAGCATCCTTTGAAATCTTGGTCTAGTTACCTAATAGCAGGGTTCTATTCTGTGTCCCTTTGACAGCATTTCTTAGTTGTAGAGTTTAACAATATTAAGCATAAAAATTTGACAAAATTCTTATGTTTTCTTTTCTCAGAGTAGTCAAGAGTGGAAAATAACTATGAAAGTTGTGTGGATGATCTAGATCTCTATAACTTGATTTGTCAATAATTTTTTTGCAGCCACTAATGATAGGATTGTTTGATTGTTTGGCTGTTTGATTAACATCCACCATGAATGCCTCTGCCCCGTCCCCATCATAGACACAACTAAAGCTAATTGCGACCACAGTTGGTGTAATTAGTGGAATACTTTTATTTTCCATTATTGTCATACACAGTCCTAAGGATCATTGCTGGTAAAATATTGACCTATATCTTTGTCACTAAAATCAACATAGCTCTTGTCTGTACATACCTTTTGTAAATGAAAATTAGAAATGCTTCAGATTACCAGGAAACTTAGAGAGCAATATGGCCACAGGCTAACTCCTTGGTCCCTCAAAGTTTTGAAACTTATATGTATATTTATGATTTTTACATCTTTTCAAACTTAATAATCATTAAATATACCTGATTTTATATTTATAATTTTAACCTTTTACCTTTTTATATTCTTTACATTTTTATTTTCATTTATTATTTATTAATGATATGTTATTTGACCCCTAAAATCATTGGTCAATATCAGTTGCTGAATAAGACCATGTGGCCTGAAATGATCATGAGTTTCAACTTCCTAAAGATCAAAGAAATTGAGTTCAACAATATGTTTCTTGTCCTTCTCTAATTGAATATTACAGATTTACATATTTGAACCAGTTTTCCAATCCAATCCATGCATGTTTCATAATATTATTGAATGCTTTATTCCTTTCTTCCTTGTGCAGAGAAGTCAAAGACAAAAGAGAAAATTGAAAGACAGCTAGATGTTCTGGATGTGCCATTGTTTGATCTTGTATCAATCACAACCGCCACTAATAATTTCTCATTGAATAATAAGATTGGCCAAGGTGGCTTTGGACCTGTATATAAGGTAATTCAGTATTTAAGCACAAAACACAAAAAGAAACAACTAGAGTCCATAAATGTATATAGTTGTTATGGAAAACATCTGAAAGTAAATGAATGCAATTATGCAGGGAAAATTTGTGGATGGTCGAGAAATTGCTGTCAAGAGACTTTCAAGCAGCTCTGGACAAGGAATAACTGAGTTCATAACTGAAGTGAGTTTGATTGCAAAGCTTCAACACCGAAATCTTGTAAAGCTCCTTGGTTGTTGCTTTCGAGGAAAAGAAAAGTTACTAGTATATGAGTACATGGTTAATGGCAGCCTGGACAAATTCATTTTTGGTATGTAATATGAGGAATTCTTAGAGTAGAAGACTGTTTGCATAATTTTTCTAACACTTATAAGAGAAAAATATATATAATAAAATAAATTTTTGCATAAGCTAAAAATAGTTTATGTCAAAAACTAATTTATAGAATTTTTCTTATTTAGTTTCTCAAAAAATATATTTTTCACTTATAAATGGCTGCTACAAAGAAATTTATCAAACAAATCTTAGATCAGTCATATTTTGCAGTTTATTATTACTCTTGTATATCTGATGTTGAACAAAATATGTTCCTGGCAAAACAAAAAGATAAAATAAAAGGTAAATTGCTGGAATGGCCCCAACGCTATCACATAATAGTTGGGATTGCAAGGGGGCTTTTGTATCTACACCAAGATTCCCGATTGAGGATTATTCATAGAGATCTCAAAGCAAGTAATGTTTTACTCGACCAAAAGTTCAATCCAAAAATATCAGATTTTGGAATGGCCAAAGCTTTTGGAGGAGACCAAATAGAAGGAAACACAAATAGAGTTGTTGGAACATAGTGAGTATTTGTCTCTACACCACACTTGTTTATTTTTGTGTCGTATGAATTTTTTTGCTCTAAAAGTTTCCTGCAGTGGATACATGGCCCCTGAATATGCTGTGGATGGAGTATTTTCAATCAAATCGGATGTTTTCAGCTTTGGTATTCTGTTGATGGAGATAATATGTGGCAACAAAAATAGAGCTCTTTGTCATGGAAACCAGACTCTTAACCTTGTTGGTTATGTAAGCACTCAAACTTATTTATTCATGCCGAAAAATAATTTCAATCAAGAAACTGAGATATTTTTAGTCGGTGGTTCTTTTTTCATCCATAAGGCTCGAATTTGAGACCTTAGAAGAACCAAGAACCCTACAGACAAAAGAACTTTTTGGTTGTGGTAGTGTTTGGAACATGAATAAATAACTACCTTTTTTTCTTTCTCTTTTATGATCAGGCATGGACACTTTGGAAAGAGCAAAATGCTATACAGTTGATTGACTCAAGCATAAAAGAATCATGTGTTGTCTCAGAAGTACTGCGATGCATCCATGTTAGTCTCTTATGCATGCAACAATACCCGCATGATAGGCCAACAATGACCTCGGTAATTCAAATGTTAGGGAGTGAGATTGAACTGGTTGAGCCAAAAGAGCCTGGTTTCTTTCCAAGAACGATTTTGGACCAAGGAAACTTAAGCTCAAATCTAAACCAAAAGACTTCAAATGATGAATTAACCAATACCTCATTAAGTGGCCGGTGAAAGGTATGGAGTCAGCTGAACATATTGCACTGACACTGACACACAATTTCCTTTGCAAGTATATGCATTTGCATAGTTACGTATAAAATTCATTAAAGGTTTTAATTTGATATTACTTTCTTCCATGAGCAAAAGATGCTGATATTGATAACATAAATAAATGATACATGTTGTAATAAAGGCTTCAATGTCTTCCAGATACCCGCATTTTTTTTTTCTATATATATATAAAGCTACTTTTTATGTTAGTCTATTACTGGTGCAACAACAACTAAGGATTTGCCTAAGATGACGTTAGATTCTGAAATCACAAAAAAACACAATTAGTTGAAACAAGCTCTAGAGTTTGGTTGTCTGATATTTCCTTTCTTCACTAATTGCGTGGTTTTCAGCTGAGATCTTTGTGCCCCAATGGTTTTAGTTTCTATATTAATTTAATATGATTTTTTCACCTTTATATCTAGAATTATGTTTGTTTAAATGAATTAATCTGCTTGTGCAAAACTCATTAGTATACATTATGTGTTTAACGCTGCATATTTGAAGTGCACATAGAAGTCCATGTACTTGCAGAATCAGGTTTCTCGCAATGTTTCTTTGTTAAGCTCGAGATTGAGACTTAATTGATCTTGAACCTTGGAAGAATAGTTTGTGACACTTTCTAGTCTTGACTAAATCACATTATGGGCATTTGGCTCAGTGGGCAATCTGAATTTCAAATGTCACAAAAACAAAATAAAAATAGGATCCCCTAGCACCTAATAAGTATGATATAGTATTAGTCACGTGTCACAAAATTGTCATATACAGGTCGAATAAATTTCAACCATTTTGACGGAAATGTCTATTTTTTAAGAAACATTTTTTACATTCTTTATGTTGAACACAGGAAAACACAAAATAAGGTTAAATTGCGCAATAGAAAATTTTCCAAATCCTTTGGAAGTTATCTAAACCAATTTAAAACCCCCAAACAAAATAAAAATAAAATATTAGAAACACAAAAACAAGATTTCATTAGACAATGAATATAAAATTCAAAATTTCTTCGGTAAAAATATATTGAACTAGGGTTGGACTAAAATTCAAAGCTCAAATAAGTAGAAAACTCAACTAATAAAATTTTCGAATTTAACACTCAAATTGATTTGCTATATCTCTAAATATCAAAGTAAAATTTGACATGATTGCAGATGTTGCAAATCAATTTGTAGTGATATTTATAGGGAATTGAATCTCAATGAACGACCAAGTCGATGGAGCAAATACCTTCTAAAGGAGTTGAAGTCAAACCAACTAAGGCGAAAAGAATCTCTTTTTTTTTTTTTTTTCCTTCCTACATGGCAGAAATGCTTCGATCTTTAACTACACATTGATGCTTTTTTTTTCTGGCGTACTCAAAAGACAAGCTCAAAACTAGTCTTGCTTAGCAGTGTTGTAGGCAAAAAAACTAGTACTACTGGACACTGTTGCGAGGTTCCCCCGGTGCAGGCACCAAACGTCCATTCTGAAGTAGGTGAGTAGGGTAGGGGGATTGGCAGCTTCCAATGTGAGATTTTAAGCGGGGTATGTTAGGATGTGCACTTCTACATCTGTGGCACCTCAACTCCATAGACAGTAGCTTGTCATCATCTTTCAATGCTGCCTTCCCAACACTAGAGATCTCATCCATTACATCTACTGAGTCACGGAAGAAAGCGGTGTTAAACGAGTTCCAGTGCTTCTTATTCTTTAAATGTGTTGATTCGAAGTCCTGGCTAATAACATGTAAATGTAGTTGCCGCATCGATGGTGCCTGCAGGAAGCACGAAAGAAAAAGACTTTAACAGCTACTGAAGATTTCTGTTTACAAATGATAAAGTAGCATTGCACTTGCAGTTACTCGATCATTAACCTTCTCAAACCAGGACAAGCATTTTAGTAACTTCTTTCTTTCACATTTTTAAATATATTCCTTCCAAGAATTTTCCTGGTTAAACATCACGGGTGGTATTTATCAGGAATAGCCTCGAGTTATTGATTAATATGTTTGACCGTAAAAGAAATTATCTTTAAACTCTATTTTATTACGAATCCAATTTCGTCATCACATAACTCAAATATGTGTTTTCATGGAAAACATAAAGTACCGAAGTCATTCATTAATCAAAGGAGAACGTTCTTTTTTTTTTTGGGTAGGGAAGAAGAAGAATAGTTCTTGAATATATATTCTGCATACCGAATGATATCCAAGACGAAATACCAGAGAAGCATTCTCGTTCAAGAACTTATCAGCCCACTTTAAACCCACATCATGCATCTTGTTCAATAGCTGAGTGTGCTCCTTTTGGACATCGGCAAGGCAGTCAAGACCCCCAGTTCGGGCCAACACCAGAACATGCTTCCGTGCCTGCAAAACACAAGTAAATTCAGTTTGATACATAAGCAGAATAATGCATAACAGAAATTAATAAGGAATGAAAAAGAAAAGCGACTGACTTAACCTTGGGATACATATCATTCAATACAACAACATCTTCAGAAATTTCAAGCAAGTCACCCTTATGCTTTTCGGGATGCATAGCTATTTGGTGAAGAGCTTGAGCCCATGATCCCCAAGCCTTACTCATGCTCCTCTCAGTTCTTCTATGCTCTGAATCTACCTTTTCATCCTTAGAATCAGGAAAGGTCAATCCTAAGCCATCCTGAGTTCCTTTGTATTTCTTGCTTTTCTCTGATCCATGATCATCATCTCTCTTACTCTTTTGATCAGTATTTGTGAAATATTTTCTGGAAGAATAATCAGACCGAACTGGCACGTCCAAAGACTTCCTTTCAAGCTTTTCGCTTCTTCCCACTTGTTGCCCTGGCTGGTTCTTCATAATAGATGCAAAACCTTCAAAAAGTGAAGTATAAGCATCTTGGAGAATTTTGCAGCCTTTGTTATAATCGTTATTTAGACAATTTGGTCTCTGTGGGTTCATATTAGGTCCAAGAACATGTATTACATGGGTTACACCCTCTCTGGTGAACAAATGAGAAGAAGAGGGTATAGGGACAACAGCAGCATTCCCAGGTGAAAGAGATTTTACTTTTTCTTTTGTTGCAGACTCCAGTTCAGGACCTGCAGCATTAAAAATTGCTGCATTAACACCTCCACCTCCAGGCTTCAACCTCCTGCAAAGGATTTTTCACTTAACCAAGGGAAAATTTGAAAATGGCAGGTTTATCTGACTGATATATAGTTTATTATAAGTTTTATGAGCAACACTGAAGCTTGAGAAATAAGTAAAAGATGATGAGATACACATCAATCAACACGCAGGCAGTGGAGTGAACTGAAATAATTAGAATGGATGCCAAAATCAAAGGCAGTTTAGTTGATTGATTACCAGCTGAAGTTGCAAGGTATAGGATACAATAAAACACAAAGAATCCTAATTGCTAGATAAGAAGAGAATGACGCAATACTAACAGATACCAAATGGCATATCATCAAACAATCATAATGGTCAGCAATCACACATGTACCTGGTGAAGGTCATCCACTGTTCATAAATTTTTTAATGCAGATTTATAGATTGATGTTAAAAGGGTTTTAAAATACGTTATAATCATAGAAATAGAACCTACCAGTTGGCAGCATTAGCAATGGCATTACATCGCAAACCTCCCCTGGAATAAAGATGAGTAATGTCCCCAACATGGGTAAAGAACTTTTGGGTGTCGATGTTTTTTTCTGCGACTTTTGCTTTAACTAAGGACAGAATCTTTGACTTATGAGACAAGTCAACAAGAACAAGTCTGGCATTGCTAAACTTACTAGAGAACTCTGCAACCTTCGCAACAATAATATCCGCTGCCTTCTCAAGGTTGAATTGAAAATCAGACGTTGAAATAGATGGAAATGCCAGAGTGGGGATATCATTCAGACAAACTTGATTGTCATGAGAACCTGCAGAGCCAACTGCTTGGCCTTCTACTTCCTTCGTCTCTAAGTTGGCATTCTCTGGAATTGAGGCAAGTGTTTCCTTTTCTTTGCAGTAGGAATTATTTTTCCCTGGAGTCTGGGAAGTAGGCTCTTCAATGTCACTCTTCGTAGATGCAGCAGCAAGTGGGACCTCTGCTTTTTTTAGGAACTTCATTATACCAACTTGAATTTTGGAATCTGGATTCTTTTGGCCAAAGCAGCCATGTGGAAGACTATCCAGTGGCCCTAGTGTGCTGTACGTGCTAATAGCATTTTTTACATCATCCACATTCTGACAGAATGTTATCCGGTTAAAGCCTTCACTCAATTTGGGAAGCTCTTTATGTTGAAGCATTCTATTCACAACTGCAGCAGCTTTCCCACCCTGCAAATTTCCTTCATGCCCAGTTCGTTTGACTGATCGAGAAATACAAAGCTTAGCAGGAAGATCAAGTACAACTGCATGAACATCTATTTGGGGTCCACCACCAAGCTTTATAAATTCTGACCGCTGTTCTCTGTCAAGATTGCACCGATCAATAAATACACTCTTCCCATCCTTCAATGCACTAGTTGCACTACTCAGGCACTGAGCTTTAGTTCCTGCTTTACCATTTCCAATAGTGTCCTAAAGCAAATAAATAAACAGTATAACCGGCGTTAGATAAGATCCAAAGTATTGGGCGAGCCTGTTCTCTCTCTCTCAGAGTGGGGTGAAGCAAAGGCTGAGTCTTGGCACAACAGTACATTTACTATCTTCAGCCTTGATGGTCATTAGTTTTAGTGGTGGTAACAGTATCCTCGTACACACAAAAGTAAGGTTTTGTACATCGAAGCCACACCAGAACCCCACAATCTCTCTGCATATGGGAGTAAGATGGCTGCATATAACAAATCCTCCTCAGACTTTAACATGGTGGTCAGCCTTGTGCACAGGGATTCCATTCAGGGGTGCCATGATAAAAGACTAATTCTTTAACAATAGTATTTCCGATTTCTTTCTCAACTCAAGTTCACATTAAATACGAAATAGAATATCCCTTAGATATAAATAGTAGTTTGCAAGAGTACAGAAGATATTATTATAAATGAACCAAGAGCATAGAACAACAAGAAGTAGACTTTGTCCTAATAGATTTATCATGGGATGTATCAATATTCAAATTGCATTAACATATATATGGCTAAACAAATTAAACATTACGATGAAAGACACGAAATTGGCTTTCACTAAATATACTACTCAAATAATTTATAAAAGTATATTTATTTGGGAGCTGATAAGGAGCGAGAAAAGATATCAAAGAAATCAGAGAAGGCCAAAGTGTTGGGAATGGAGGAAATTAACAATTTTCCTTTCTTTTGTTATAATGCTAAAACTTTTATATTGCTCATACTAAGCAAATAACACTCTAAAAATCAACCATTTCACGTCACTTCCCCACGACACACTAACACCCCCGAGCCGTTTTAAAGTGCCAAAACCGAGGCCAAATACTTAAAAAAACCTTCTCATTATTACGACCATGACGTGATTGTGGTCGTGCAAAACAACTTAAAAATAAAAACTTGATCTGTTTCCTTTTCGTCATTATCCGATCAGGTAGTAAAAACAAAACTTGAGGGGTGAAAGTGAAACCCATTGAACAGGTTGAAGGGAGTGAACTAAACCTGGCAAACGCGAACCCAAGGGCGAGTAGAGGAACGCATTACTTCTTCGCCGAAGGTGGATTTCCCGCTTCCCGGTGCTCCCACCAATATCACCAAAACGGGCTTCCCCTCTGCGTTTAAGACATCGACACACAAAGTCATCAAAAGGATTTCAATTTCCATGATTAATTTCGTGCATCAAATAGTGAGGGTTGTAGAAGGAAACCTCTGGGTGCAGAAGTTTCGTCCACGTCCATTATGTCCATTTTCAAGCTCGAGCCTAGTTCGTCAAATTGTCACTGTGAATTTAGATCATCAAGCAATTGAAATATCAAGTGATATTGTGTACTTTAGGGTTTGTGTTGAAGTAAATATTAACTTGCAAGCAATGTTTGCATTGATGGTAATATTAGAAACTTTAATGTGCATGCCTAGATATAAAAATTAAAAAAAAAATAGAATGGTCATTTTTTATACGTGTATGAATATTTTAATTTAATCTTAAAATTTAAATAAATTTTTAATTTGTTATAAATTGATTTCAATAAATATTTTAATTTAGAATTTTTCTAATTTTAAATTTTTTTGTGATAATTGTTTTTTATAAATTTATTGTTTTATTAGATTTTTTATTTTCAAATTTTTAATTCACATGCATGAAACTTGAAATTTAGAATACAAAACTATTTTTTATAAGTTTAGAAGATCAACAGAAATATTAAAATTTTGTATACTTGAATACATTTTTTAATTAGACCTCTAAAACTTATTTTGGCTCAAATTTATGTGTATTTGTTTCAATTTTCATAACATTATATCAACATTTTAGAATATTAAGAGATATGGTAACTAGAAGTAGTTTTATATCTTTGTATTCTCTTCTTCTTCTATTTTTCATTTTATTTTTTTATCTTCCTTGTATTTGTACAAATGAAGAGTGTTTCACAAAAGGTTAAATTATTTTTTTAATCTACAAATTGAAGATTATATGAGTTGCAAAATTGAGTTTTGCATCAATTAATTATTATTCTTTGAGTTTATTATTTTTTCTCTAATTCTTAAAATTAGATATTGTGGTTATGGTTTGCTTTATTACATTTTAGAATCCAAATTAGATTTTTAATTGTTGATTTGATAATCAATTGCAAATTATAAATAATTATTTAAATTTGGATTGATATTTTATTAGATATAATAACATTTTAATTTAATTTTTTTAATTCTTTTTAATTTGGTTTGCTTTTGAATTTGGTTGCATTTAATTTTTCATTTTGGTTTTTATTTTGTTTAAATTTTAATTGTGTTTGAATATGAATCCGAAAATCTCTAATTTAAATTGTATAGGAAGAGTATTAGAGAATAAATATAATTAATATATATTTTTAATAATCAACTTATGTTATTCTATGTATTGTAAAATTTTGAAGAAAACATAAAATACTTGATTTTATTATATAGTAAATATCACTCATCTAAAGAAGTACAACTAAAATTGAACTGCATGACATTATCTAGTATTAATGAAATTAAACTTGACCAACTACTTATCATCAACTCGTCTAGTGCAACTAGAGTTAACTAGTTTTATGTAGGGATGACAAAACGGGTCAGGCTCGGCGGGGCGGGTTGGTGTTTTCAGCCCACTTTGGCCCGCCAGCTAAGCCCGCCAACCCGCGGATGAGAGGTCAGCCATGCCACGCCTAATTAATAAAAAAATAATTTTTTATTGTAATAAAATTAATTATAAAGATAATATATAAAGTTAAAAATTTTAAAAAGAGAATTAAAAAAGTTTCACTCTCACATAAAATATTTTCCTTACTCGAAACACAACTATCTCTCTTGTTCTCTTTGTTCATCTTAAACACTCGATTATTTTTATTCTTATGACTTGAATTAAAGGTGTAAGAATTACTCAACCAAAAATAATGTGAAATTTTATCAAATAAAAAAGATATAGGTATTTGAATTTTTCAATATAAAAAATATAAATTTTATAAGTTTTAACGTTATATATATATATATATATATATATATATATATATATATATATTTGTTATTATTTATTATTATGTAAATTTTATTATTGTTCTAAATTATAATTTTTTAAAATAATATATTGATTTATATTATTAAATTTAAATAATATATATATATATATATATTAAATTATTGACAAACAAATAATAATCTTATTATTAAATTTATTAAAAAAATTATTTTTTTCTAAATTATGGTGGGTCAGCCAGCCTCTTGATGGGGCGGGCCAAGGTCTACGACCCGTCATGACTATATCGGACCAGCCCACCCCGCCCCTCTTTTGACGGGCCAAAGGCGGGGCAGGCCAAAACGGGCGGGTTGACCTGTTTTGCCATCCTTAGTTTTATGTCATAAGATTGTCTGAAGACTCAACCAACATCAAGTAATTAACTCATTTGAGGAAGATTTGACCAATCAACATATTATTAGTCTTGATTGATGAAGACTTTATTGAAACCTAAATAAATTCATGTTATAACATCATATTTATTCAATAGACCTATTATAACTATAAACTTTAACTTTATTACATGTCAACTAATGAAACCACCTTATTAGATTAGTTATTATTGTCAAACTTGACCAATGCTTATTGAAAGTTACCTCATATAATCTTATCATGTAATAATATAAACATATGACTACATAATTAATAAATGCAATAAATGCTCATTAATCAACTTATTAGCATTTCAATCAATAACACAATCTTGAAATGCCTAAAGCTCTGCATAGAAATTGAGTGATGTAGAAAGTTATTAAGAGTGTTTATCCATGTTAGGTGAATTTTACAATAATAAAGAACAACACTAAGATTCTTAATAACATTTAAACATGCCCTTACTTTTGACAAAAAGTTAAGCATGCTCTCAAAAGGCTACAAACTCTTTCAAACCTTGTACTAGGTAGAGTTAACTCTTGATTCATGTGCTTTTAGCATAAAGCTATAAATAACACCTCAACCATGCAATAAAGACTGATGCTCAAATGTGAACACTCTTTGTGAAGGAACACGACCAAGTCTTAACTTAAAAATAATCTTTGTGTTTAAGTCCTAGAAGAAGCCATTTTTATATCCTTCATCTGGTTAAGTGATATGAATCACAAGGGATGATTTAGGATATTTAGGGTTAGAACCTTGTAAGAATTTTAGGAATTTAATGATAAGGTGGAAGAAAAGAATCACTTTTTCCAAGGAAGGCAACTCACAAAAGATGTGAAAGTTCTTTGATACAGCCAAGGGTTCTTGAATCACTAAAGAATTTAGGAGAATCACTCTCACTAAAATTAAAGAGATAAACTCTAATAATTGTGAATAAAAATTCACTTGTTATTTTTTATAAAAATGGTTCAGCCTATATAGAAGTTTTGTCATCAGAATTACAAAGATTTAATAAAAGAAAATAAATACTAATAATGATTCATTAACCTAGGAATTGAAAACTACTTAATGGAGACAAATAAAGACTAATAATGATCCATTAACCTAAGAATTGAAAACTACTTAATGATTTATTGTAACTGAAATTGTGGCATCCAAAAGTCAATCAGCTATATACCCTCTTGGTCTCCTAAAGACTGATAACTAAATTTCCAATTGGGCCCTTATTACAACTTGCAATAAAACCAAACTAAAGTCCATTAATTGATTAATCCAAAATACAATTTGGTCAACCAACAATACTTGTTGAAAAACTTCCTTTGTTTTCCTTGCTCTAGCCCTTATCAAAGGTCAGGTTCACATCATTCTCTCCCTCTTGAAAAGGATTTGTCCTTAAATCGGATTCGTCATCTACATTCAAAAGAGATAAGTCTGACAAATTAAATGTAGAACAAATATTATACTCACTTTTTATGGCTAAATAACTCTCCCTCACTTCAAGTATTTCACTTTTCTTTTGATCACTCTTTTTCTTCTCAAGTGTTTCACTAACGCTTTTTTTCTCTCTTTTCTTGAAGAAATTTTTCTCTCATTTTATTTTTATCCTCCCACACTTTTTGTGGACTCAAAGGTTTGAGCACAATCTTTTTGTCGTGGTGCATGAAAGAGAACTTGTTAGTGAACCCGTCACGATTGACTCTTTTATCAAATTGCCATGGTCTCCCTAAAAGTAAGTGACTGACCTCAATAGGAACAACATCACAAAGTACCTTATCATTGTATTTTTCAATGGAAATGTTTACTTCAACTTGCTTCCACACTTGCACCTCTCCATCCTTACTAAGCTATTGAAGTTTATAAGACCTAGGATGTTGTTTAGTAGGTAAATTTATCTTTGACACTAATCTAGCACTAGCCACATTGGTGCAACTACCTCCATCTATGATCATCATGCACACCTTGTCATTGATTAAACATCTAGTGTAGAAAATGTTTTTTCTTTGGATTTCTTCCATAAGTTGCAATTGCCCATCAAGTAATCGCCTATTCATTAATAAATCTCCCTTTGGAATCTCCTCCTCCTCTATGTCTTCACTTTCCTCTCCCTCTTCAACCTCAGATTCACTTATATATTCTCCCTCACTAAGAACCATAAACCTTTTGTTAGTGCACTCATAAGCATAGTGTCCTAAACCTTGACATTTGAAACATTTCACATCTCTACTTCGTTTAGAGGGTTGTTCTTCAGACTTTGAAGGAGTCTTTGTAGGAATATGTGTGGAACTACTAGAAGAAACAACCCCATCTTTATTGCCTTTGTCCTTCCAACTTGAAGATCCAAAGTTGGTAGAACTCTTCTCAGCCACTTCTTTTCTTTTGAGTTGTTGCTCCACTCGAATTTCTTTATGAAGTCATTCCTCCATATCAACAAACTCGTGCAACTCAACAATATCACATATATCAATATTCAAACCACCAATAAGTCGGGCCATAATTACCTCTTCATCTTCTTCAATCTTTGCTTGAATCATGAGCATGTCAATTTCCTTGAAATACTTCTCAACCCCCTTGTTGCCTTGAGTAAGTTTTTGGAGTTTAAATTTCAAGTCCCTTGAATAACTAGCTGGTACTTACCGCTTCCTCATGATCATTTTCATCTCAGTCCATGTATCAACCATTGACTCTTTATTTCTACCTCTATCCTTTTGTAGCTTGTTCCACCAAACAAGAGCATAGTCATAAAATTTCGTAGTTGCAAGCCTCACCTTTTGGGTCTCCTCATAATTGTTGCATGAGAAAACATGTTCTATTTTCATCTCTCACTCCAAGTATGCCTCTGGATCA